TTTGGAACTTTTGGTGCTCGGGAAAGCTAGTCCCTCCCCTAAGTCCTGGCTTACCGGCCCGAGCACCTAGGGTGCTTATATCCCACCTCCCTCCCTGCTTTGCATGTTCATATCAGTAAAAGAAACCTCCAAGTTCTTCCTCCAGTCTGAGCTGCATCTTCTCTGTATTCCCCCACTCCCCCACCTGTTCACGTGCGCTGCTCCCCTCTCCTGTGCTGTTTCCCGGCACACGGCTCATCCCTCGGCCCCTTCCTTGAGCGATGATCCAGGGACCTCAGGTGCTTGCCCCAGCGAGACGCTCTCACCGTTACTCCTTGAAAGACTGCTCCCCGGCAAAAGCTCTCTACAAAAAGTGGCCCAGATAACCACTCAGCAGGGTCCACCCCTCGTCATCCTCACTGCCCACACCTGGGGCTGTCCCGCTCATTTGTCATCCTCACTGCCCACACCTGGGGCTGTCCCGCTCCTTGGTCATCCTCACTGCCCACACCTGGGGCTGTCTCGCATGGGAGAGGACAGAAGGGTGCATGGAACCACAGGCGAGCCAGGGAAAGGGGCCGGCGCCAGCCGAGGGGCGCTGCCGGAGCGAGCAGGAGGCAGGGGCTGTTCTCAGATGGGGCCCCGGACCGGCGCTGGCTCGTGGTGCTTCGCTCTGGGCTCTGGGGTTCTTTTGGGCTGGGCTTGGGTGCGGGTGTTGGGGGACTGCGCACACCCTCCCCTGAGTCACAGCTCCGCCCCAGCTCGCTGCACCCTGCTGCACTCCCCGCAGCCCTTGCTCAGCTGCGTGGGGATTAGTGCCTCCTCTGCAGGTGGCAAATGTCTGTAAAGTAAATTGGGAAGCCACTGCCAGTCTTTCTTTTCCAGCCTTTTCTGCCCAGCACCGCAGTGGTCGAAAAGGAAACCAGAAAAACACGACCCCCCCCCCCCAAATCGCACCATGCCAAGTCCCAGCTTCTCCCGCTAAGCCCAGGTAGAGCTGCAGCTCTCGGGCCCCACCGCGCCATCCGTGAGGTCACCCGGCCCCCTGCACCGCCCTGGAACGCCCTCCCGCTGCCGCACTCGAACACAAGGAGCAAAGCCCTTTCCCCCCAGCACAGCCCGGTCCCTCCCCGGCAGCCTCGGCAGCGCGGGAAGGGCCGGGGGCTGCGGCAGCCCCCAACGATGGGCGGGGCGCACCGGGAGGGGCAGCGCAGGGCGGGGGCGGGTCCCGTGGCTGCGACCCCCACGGTGGAAGGCACCCCCAGGGCAGCCCCGTCCGCCACCGCCCCTCGCCTCGCCCACAGCTTTAACATTAAGCCAAGATGTAATACAGAGCACCACAAGATGCTGTCTGACCAACCTGATCTCCTTTTACGATCAGCTGACCTGCCTGGTGGACGAGGGGAAGGCTGTAGATGTGGTCTATCTGGACTTCAGCAAAGCCTTTCACGCTGTCTCCCATAATATACTCCTGGGAAAGCTGGCAGCCCACGGCTTGGCCAGGTGCACTCTCTGCTGGGTTAAGAGCTGGAGGGCTGGGCCCAGAGAGTGTTGGTGGACGGGGTTGCATCCAGCTGGTGGCTGGACACCAGTGGCGTCCCCCAGGGATCCGTGCTGGGCCCAGTCCTGTTTAACATCTTTATAGATGATTTAGATGAGGGGATTGAGTCCATCATCAGCAAATTTGCAGATGACACCAAGTTGGGAGGGAGTGTCAATCTACTGGAAGGCAGGAGGGCTCTGCAGAGGGACCTGGATAGACTGGAGAGTTGGGCTGATTCCAATGGGATGAAGTTCCACAAGGCCAAGGGCCGGGTCCTGCCCTTTGGCCACAACAACCCCCTGCAGCGCTACAGGCTGGGGACAGAGTGGCTGGAGAGCAGCCAGGTGGAAAGGGATCTGGGGTGCTGATTGACCCTCAGGAGGCTGAACATGAGCCAGCAGTGTGCCCAGGTGGCCAAGAAGGCCAATGGCATCCTGGCCTGCATCAAGAACAGTGCGGCAGCAGGATGTGGGAAGTGATCCTTCCCCTGTACTCAGCACTGGTGAGGCCACACCTTGAGCATTGTGTTCAGGTCTGGGCCCCTCAGTTCAGGAAAGACATTGAGGTGCTGGAGCAGGTCCAGAGAAGAACAACAAGGCTGGTGAAGGGACTCGGGCACAAGTCCTGTGAGGAGAGGCTGAGGGAGCTGGGGTTGCTTAGTCTGGAAAAGAGGAGGCTCAGGGGTGACCTCACCCCAATTCTGTCCCACCCCCCCGAGCTGGGCAGCTGAGGCCAAGGCTCACCTTCCTCCTGCCAATCACTGTCTCAGCACACCAAGGCCCATGCAGGGCAGCACTTGGGAAAACTTGGGAAAGGCAACAGGAAAATGGCACTGCCTGTCAGAAAACGAGTGCCCACAAACACACCTTTGAGACAAATGGAATAACATCACTCTCCTCCAAGAAACACAGGCCAGGCAGGGCTCTCCAGCCCAGGGGAGAACAGGCAGGAGAATGCAGGGAACACAGGGAGACACAGGCAGGCATTGCCACTTATTCCCTGCAGCCCTTTCTGCACTTGGGGCTCCTGGCTCTTGATTTAGAAAGAACTGGGGGGGGAACAGCAGAGCAGGAATGCCCCTCAAAAACAGGGGCCTTGGCACCTGGAGCATCAGAGGAGGGCAGCTGGGAGGGGAGACCCAGACAGAGAACAGCAAGGGGTTTCTTCAGGAACAGGCTGTATGTCCAGCAGTGATGGCAAATGCAAACACGGGATGCTGTGGGAATGCAGGGGGGGAGCACGGGCCTGGCTTGGATGGATCCCTTTGCCCTTTGCTCAGGGGCCTCAGCTCCACCCTCTGAGAGCAGCAGAGATCTGCTGCAGGGCAAGAGTTCATTTAGGCACAAGTCAGTGATGCGGCCACTGGGCAAAGGGAAGAGGGGAGAGGAACTGACACCAAAATCACACAATCACCACATTACTGGGACTTTACTGAGCTGCAACACAAATACATTCACAGCAGGCCAGGGCAAGAGGTGCACACAGGACCACCAGCACAGCAGCTGGGCTTGCAGGAACACCCTCTCCTCAAGTTATAGAGCAAGGGGCTGACAGTTGGGATCCATCCTGGGGGACTGGAGAGCACTCAGACATCAGGGCCGAGTCCTACCTGGTCACTGCAAGCAGTTCAGCCCCAGCAGCAGTGGGAGTTTCTGCCTCTCCCTCCAAGAGGATTTGGGACCCAACAGCTCGTTGCAGAGGAATTTTATCTTCATTAATGTTTTACAAAGTTGAGCTTCAGGAGAACTGAGGCACTTTTCATTATTCTGTACTCTTCCAGGGCTGCACTTGCCAGGATCCTTTGGGCACGAGGAACCTTCCAGAATGCTCCAAACCTTCACGGCCCACTTGTTCTTCTTGCCACACTTGGACCAGCTCAGTGTCCCTGCAGAAAGAGAAAATTCAATGACTCTCCCTGAAATCAGAACCTCCCCTGCTTTGCTTTCCCATTCCGTGTTTTGTTCCCTACACAACTGAGGCCCTTCCAGGCCTTGCCAACTGGCAGCCAAGGAATCCAACCCAAGAACCTGCCAGGGAGCAGCCTCTGTGCCACAGCAACAGCATTCCAGGCCTGTCACTGCCAACTCTCCGCTTCTCCCAACAGCTCCGGTGGCACCAGAACTTGTCCTGAAGGCAGAAAGGCTCCTTTTGGGAGCTACCTATACTGTAGCACTGGAATTCCATCTCCTGGACAAGCTGGGAGAAGCAGAGAAGAAAGCCAGGACCTTACAGGTCAATTAGGGACATCCAACAGCAGCTCCGATAAAGGAACTGAGTCAACACCTCACCAAAGACACCGGACAGCAAGGGCCAACACCTTGACAATCACTTCAGTTTTCAATTTATAAAGCCAAATTAAAGCAAAGCTTTTCAGACACTTGGGAAGAGTCCATGCCATTGCAACCAGTTTGTGGGACTCATTCCCAGCCTGCTGAGGTTCATTTCCCACCTCACTCGTGGCTGCACTAGACCTGGTTACACACACACACACAGAAGGAGCTGCTGCAACTTGTCTAGTTTCCTGCTTCTCCTTGAAACTCCTCCAGTGTTTGCCCAGCTCTCCAGGGTCCATTCCTTTGCCCACTGGACTTGTTCCCAGCCCCAGGGCTGCCAGGGCCACCCTGGGCTCTCACCTGCCCTCACACTGAGTGACCTTTCCCAGCCCCGAGTCCATCCAGCACTGACCAAGCTGCTGGGGGCTGCAGTTCTCCCTGCTCCTTACCTCCCTCTGATCCAGCGTTTTCCCCTGGGCGAAGAGGTGAATTAGTCTTTTGAAGGACCCGATGGCCAGAGGTGGGGGAAAAACTATCAGCATTCCCTAAACACCTCCAGCACTTCCATATCCATCTGCGACCAGGGCCAACCTGGGCTAGGGGAAGGTGTCCCTGCTCAGGGAGTGGGGCTGCATGAGCTTTAAGATCCCTTGCAACCCGAACCACTGCAGGATTCCATCACCATTCCACCATTTCTCCCTGCATTTGTTGTGCATCGCTTCCTCTCTGATTCAAATTCTCCAGTTTGGTCGGTCTCTTAAAGGAATAATTTTAAGGTTATTCCAGGAATAAAAAGGGGAGTGGAAAACACACACGAATCATTCCTGCACCCATCAAATCCTTATTCATTGGGAGCACGTACCCTCATCTCTGTCCTTGTTTTTTTTTTCTCCTGGGAAACCTTATGGTCATAGATTTTTCCAAGAGAGACCTGGGATTACCACGTTTGCTCTGTAAGAAGCAGGAGAGGTTCAGAATACCTGTTCCTCTGCATTTTGCCAGTGGGATTTTCCCACTTTTCAGAGATCATTTTTGTAGCTGCCCAAGGAAATTTCTGGAGCTGACCCACGACTGAGTACAGAGTGCAGCACAAAGGAACAACCAATCTCCCTCCAAAATATTTCCTGTCCTCTACAGACAGCCTCAAGACTTATGTCCAATATTTTCCCCACCTGTCCACTACTGATTCCCTCATTTTAAGCCCAAAATGTTCATTCTGTCCCCTACATACTAACACAGATATGACCCCAGAGTGTCCATTCTGTCCCCTGTAGGTCTCTGGGGACACAGGGGGGTCCCTTTGATCTCAGGGCCTTGCTCCTGACCCTCTCCAGGGCGGAACAGCTGCAAATCCCAAGGCAGAAGGAGGGTGATCTGTCAGCCAAAGGCAGACAAACGGCTTCAGAAAAGATTTCTGCAACCTAACTGAGAAGGATTTCCAATCTCCCGGGGAGAAGAGCAGGAACTCACAGCCAACAATACCTGACAGTGCCCTGCAGCCACAGCTCAGCTCACGGACAGACTGGCAATTCCACCATCTAAAAGGAAACAAGACCAAGGAAATGGTGATTTCTTTGGCTTTCAAGTTATTTTCAGTTCTTAAAACAGAAGCAACACTTGCTTTGGAATTGTGTTGGGTGAACAATTGGCAGTGGGCACACGCCAGGGCAATAGTGCTGATTTCACTGATGCTCTCTGGGGCAGGAGCAGCTGAGCTCCTGAGTTCAGTTCCTGCCCAAGGTCTGACCCCAAAATGATCCCCTCCTCTCCACTGCTGATCACCTCCACATTTGCATTCACTGACCTGCAGAGAATCAAACTCCTTTTTAAGCCCCAAAACCCGCCCGGGCAGCCACAACTGATCACCTCTTTTAATTTTTAAGACAAGATCTTCATTCTCTCTCCCAGAGATCCCCTCAGATTTAACCCCTAAACTTTTCTCTTCCTGCACACCTCTGATTAACTCATTTTTACCTCCAAAGGTTCATTTTCTATCCTTGAGAGTTTCTCAAGTTTTACCCCCAAAGCTTTCCTTACCTGCCCAGGGCTGATGGCCTCACATTACCTCTCTCGGGTCGTTCCCTCCCCTACAAATAACATTCAGTTTTACCCCCACACTTTTCCTTCCTCTACATTTCCCATTTTAGCTTT